GCCGCCCGGCTGCGCCTGCTCAGCCTCTGCGCCTGGCCGCCGCCGTCCTCTTACTCCATTGCCTCGGTCAGGGGCGCTGAGGCAGGAGCCGGAGGAGGAAAAGGGAAAGGGAGGCAAAGGTCCGGGAAGGAACAGTCGGGGAGGGGCAAAAACGCGGAGACTAGCCGGCTCCCGTGACGTCACTTCCGGTCTGTCCGGAAGGGCGGGGCCTGAACGCCTCGAAGGCCCGGCGGCGGTTGGAGGGCGGGGCTACGGGCCGGGAGGGGTTGAGCCGGTTCTCGAGACGTTGGCGGTTCTTTTGACTCGGGGTTCCGTAGTCTTCTCAGCCTTAGGTACTTCTGGGCGCAAGACTGATTGGGCCGATTGGGTCAAGTTCGGTGAGCCCTAGAGGTGGTTCCTGCCAGGAAAGGAAGGCAGATAGCCCTGTAGAACCCAGGAAAATGTAGAGTGAAGGCGAGCGGGACACGCGTCCCCTGGGGCCTGAGGTCCCGCCCCTTTCCTGGTCCCGCCCTTTCGGGGCGCCAGACAACGCCTCCCTTTCGTCCTTTCCAGGTCCGGGAAAGCTCAAACTGTACTGTCTACGCATCACCGGAGACCTTGTCAAGATGCAGTTTCTGATGTTAGGGTCGGAGATTCTGCGTCCCTAATGAATTCCCAGATGAGGCCGAAGCTGCTGTTCCCCAGGCTGCACTGAGAGCAACAAGGGGTAGGTACCCAGCCTGCTCACCTAAAGACGCTTGGAGAGGTAGACGGTCCACGGAAAACGCCTAGATTTCAACTGTCACAGCCTCGCAGCCTCCCGAATCCTAGCGGGTGCCGCACCCCTACACCTCTGCCTGCCCCGCCTCCCAATTCCCGCTCAGCACGCAGGCTTTAGGGCTAACGTTTCCAGAATGGGCACAGGTACGGCTTCTATTACAAAGTTTGAGGGTGCTAGACTTTTCTTTCTGTCATTTTGTCATAAACAATTTACTATGTAAGATTAGGCATATTGTTTCCATTTACCGGTAGCCAAGGCAGGACAGAGCATCAATTCTTGGATTCTAATCACCCACCCTCCCCCCAAATTATCTGGAAACAAATCCTAGATGTTTCAACTTATTCTTTTATCATTTATAAAAATTTTATTTAAAAATTTACAGGAGTAGAGGAGAGACTGCTAACTAAGCACTAAGTTTTACAATTTGGAAGAGTTTTCTAGTTTGAAGTTTAATTTTCCAGATCTTTATTTCTATTTCTATATAGGATCATATGTAGAAATGCTTCAACTCTCTAGGTTTTTAATTTTTGTTTTGTGCTTTTTCTTCTTCCTCTTCCTCTTGTTCTTCCTCTTCTCCTTTGTCATGAAACCTTCCATGCAATCCCCTTAGCTCCATTTATCCTAATAACAGCCTACTATTACACAGTAAGGTTATACCATAATGTACTTAACTGTTCCATAAGTGATGCCATTTTGATTATTCACGAGTTTTTCTTATTTCACAGCAAAAATTTTTAAACAAGAACAGCTGACAGCCACATGGATTAGTATCATTCACTTTCTTGCCCTCTTCCCTTTGAGGAACAGCTTGATCACAACAGCAAAAAAAAAATAAGAAAATAACAGAGCCTGCTGGAACCACAGCTCTGTTATAATCGAGTCAAATTATTTCCATGCCTTTTAAATGTATCCTAATGTATTCGAGACGAAGTGTAGCTAGAAATCATTTAGTGTTTAGGGTATAGAAGCTCATGTAATGATATATTTCATAACAGTAAAGCAAGCCCCTAAATTTACTCTTTATTGGCAAATATTGTAATGTGCTTAACGGTAAATCTATTTTCATCCACTGGCTGTTTAACTCTAGTATTTTTCTTGGATTATTTCATAGATGATTTTTTTCCTAACTTTTTCTTCTTTTAATTCATTTAAATAATTGCATCTTCTTAACTAGTCCTCCAAATTGTGTACAGCTATTCTTCTTACTATGCACCTTTTATTTTCAACCTACTACTAAGTATCTTCAAATTTATCCACAAAAACCCTTTTTGATACCTAAAAGCACATTTAAATTCTTAGTATAGCCTTTTTCTTGACATCCAGTTCTTGGTTTATGATTGTCTGTTTTGGCTACCGATATCTCTTTGCCAAGAACAGTGCCTAACTGAGGATCCTAGAAAAATAAGAACAATCCAAAAAACCCAAAGCTAGTACAAAAAAGAAAACTATAAAGATCAGAGCAGAAATCAATGAAATTGAAACCAAAAGCACAATATAAACAGTAAATTAATTGAAAATAAACAAAATAGATAAGCCCTTACCCAATCTTACCCCCCCAAAAACGAAAAGACCAAATCAATGCAATTAAAAATGAAAAAGGTGAGGCCAATCCCAGCACTCAGGAGGCTGAGGCAGGAGGATCGTTGTGAGTTCAAGACCAGCCTGAACTACGTAGTAAGTTCCAGGTCAGTCTCAACTACATAGTGAGACCCTGTCTCAAAAAGCCAAAAAAAAAAAAAGAAATAGAAAAGAAAAAGGTGAGGACCAGGGATTTAGCTCAGTGGTTTCACTGCCTGCCTTGCAAGCCCAAGGTCCTGAGTTCAATCCCCAGACCAAAAAATAATAATAATAAAAGAATACAAAAATGAAAAAGGTGAAATCGTAACCAATCCTGCCAAAATCAAGATTATTATCATCAAAAATCTTTACACCAATATATTAGAGAATTCAGAAGAAACAGATTCTAGCATATACATGAATTACCAAAACTAGAAGGCTTAAAAACTCTGACTAATCCAATAAAAGGCATTGAAATTAAAACAGTAATTTTTTAAACTACAAACTAAGAAAAACCTGGGTCCAGACATATATACTGCAAAGTCTACAAAAACTTCAGGGAAGATCAAATACCAATATGCCTCAAACTCTTTAAAAAAATCAAAAGGGAAACATACTCCCAAAGTCATTGCTGTAATCCACCCTTATTACCCTGATTCCAAAACAGACAAGGATCTAACCACAAAGAAGAAAATATTGACCAATTTCTTTAATGAATATAGATTCAAAAATCCTCAACAAGGTACTGCCAAACAGAATGCAAAGAATCATCAAAAAGATCATACATCATGCCAAGTAGGCTTCATCCTAGGGATGCAAGGATGGTTCAACATAAGCAAATTAATAAATGCAATACATCCCACAGAGACAGGAGCAAGGACAAATTTCACATGATCATCCTGGTAGACAAGTAAAAAGCCTTTGACAGAGTCCAACATCCTTTCATGATAAAAATAGCACAGAAGAAAATAGTTATAGGTTGAGTGTGGTGGCACATGCCTATAATCCCAGCGCTCAGGAAGCTGAGGCAGGAGGATCGCTGTGAGTGGAGTCCAGTCTGTGTTACATAGTGCAAGGCCAGCCTAAACTATATAGTGACAGCCTGTCTCAAAAAAACAAACAAACAAAAAAAGAAAACAGGTATAGCAGGACTTTATCTCGATCTGATAGAAGCCATTTATGACAAACCTACTGCCAAAATCATATTACATGGAGAAAAAACTGAAATCTTTCCCTCTAAAATTAGGAACAAGGATATCCACTATTACTACTCCTGGTTAATACTACAAATGAACACTAGCAAGAGCAATTAGGCAAGAAAAAGAAATAAAAGATATGTATGAGGGGGAAAATTAATTCTCTTTGTGGATGACATGATTCCCTACATACAAGACTTCCCCCAAAAATCCACCCAAAGACTCAGAATTAATAACCAAATTCAGTAGAGTAGCAGGATACAAAAAAGCACACAAAAATCAATAGCATTCCTGTACACCAATAATGGGAAGAATATATACAACTGCACCAAGAAAAATTAAATAGTTAGGAATTAACCTAACAGGAAGTGAAAGACCTCTACAGTATTCTGACCTTCCAGTACTGTATTCTGAAAAAGGAAATCAAAGAGGGCATCAGAGAATGGAACGAATCTTCTGTTCCTAGATAGGCAGAATCAGCATAGTCAAAATGGCCATACTCCCAAAACTGACAATGCAGTCCTACTGAAAATACCAGCACTCATCACAGAACTAGGAAGAATAATCCTAAAATTCATGTGGGACTAGAGGAGACCCAGAACAGCAAGAGCAATCCTGCATAACAAGGGCAAGAGGAAGGCATCAGAATCCTAAACCGGAAGTCCCATTACAAAGCTACAGTAATAAAACACCATGGACACAAGAACAGACCTGAGGATCAAGGGAACAGAACAGAGGATGAAAAAATCAATCCCAAGCACATTCAATCATTTAATCTTTGACAAAAGGACCAAAAATATACCCTGGAGGAAGAAACTTTTTAATAAGTAGTGCTAGGAAAACTGGCTATTCACATGCAGAAGATTGAATCTAGACCCATCTCTCAGGGGAGGGGGAATAGGTAAAACTCTTGAAATCATAGGCAAGGGCTTTTTTTTTTTTCTTTACAAAACCCTGATTACACAGGAAATAGTACCAAGAATCAACAACTATAATTACACAAATTAAAAAGCTTCTGCACAGAGAAAAACCAACAGCATGAAAATACAACCTACAGGATGGGAAAAAAATTGCCAGCTATTCCTCAGTCAGAGAACTAATATCTAGAATACATAAGGAACTCAAAAATATTAGACCCTTCCAAATTAAATACCATACAAAAAATAGGCACGTGAAATGAATAGTTACTTAGAAGAAGTACAGACAGACATGAATATATGAAGAAATGTTCAACATCACTGGCCATTAGAGAAAAACATTAAAACAGTATACTGAGATTCCATCTTACAACAGAAAGAGTGGCTATCATCAAGACCTTAATAACAAATGCTGCAGAGGATGCAGGAAGAAGTCACACTCGTACATTGTTGATGAAAATGTAGCCTAGTACAATCATCATGGAAATCAGTATGGAGGTTCCTCAGAAAACTTAAAACTAGTAATTCCATTTGACCTGCTTTTCCCCTTCCAGGTATCTTCCTGAAGGACTCTAAGACATCATATTATAGTGACACATGCATACCCATGTTTATAGCAGCACAATTCATAAAAATTAAGTCTTGGAAGCAGCCTGTATGTCTGTCAATCAATTAATGCATACAGAGAACGGTACTTATGAACTGTGGAGCACTACTCTGCCCTGAAGAAGGATACACTTGAGTCATGTGTAGGCAAATGGATGCACCGTGAGAGCATAATGTTAAGTGAAATAAACCAGACTCCGCAGCTTAAACACCACTTGGTTTCTCTCAAATGAGGAACCCAAAATATAAATAAAAGCAAAACAAAAGATAGTAGAAGGTAGATCTTTCTCAAATGTGCAGGGGAACGAGATGGAGGGATGAGGCAGGAAGGGTAAAGGAAAGGAATGAAAGAAAATAACTATGTTACACACCCGTATCAGTTCCCCGCAAGGAGCAGAAGTAAACATTATGTACTGAAGCATGTACTAATAAAACAATGTTTAAGTATAAATTGAGCACATAAAAAAGAACAGGGCGTAGCCCGAGATGAGTCTCCATAAATGTATGTTGAACATTTGTATGAACACAATGTTCATACAGTGTTTCTTTACTACATTTTTCATTCTACATCCATCTATAACAACTGGTAAACCGGTAACACTTTCCTTCACACTTTCCCTGGCCTCCCTTTTTAAGGTACGGGTGTTTGCTGTATATCTTTTTCCAGCAGCTGGTTCAGTGCACCCAGATGCAGGTGTTAAGCCACCAGGCACTAGTTGATTAGAGGCTATTCATGATGTCAAGTATTTTCCAAGAGATGTGAATTTGATTTAGTTTTGACCAATAATGCAGAGGTAGGAAAGTCAGATGCCTCTGGAGAGCCAGTATTATCAGATGTATAGGGAAGGGGAATATATATATATATAT